GGGAGGGAGTAGGGACACAGAAGTACAACTACCTGAGAAAAGACAATTATCATGACCTCCCAAATCTCTAATTACATATCTGGAAATAGTGTGAATATCAACTCAAAAGCAAATAGTTTAGTAAGGTGTCCATTTAGAATCAAATGTAACAAAACAGCTGTCAGATCTACCTGAAAAGATCTGTAAGGAGAAGCAGACCACGTCCCTGAATGGGAAGACGGCGGCGTGACGAGAGCAGAGCTGCCGCTGGTCTCAGCCACTTTCCTCACGTGATTCAAACAGACGGGGTTCCGAACCTCTGTTAGGAATGGATCCTGATCAGTTTTAGCCAATCATGCTAATGCCACTTCTCTTGCCAAGGACTGGGTTAGAAATGCCACGTAACCCAATCTGGCCAGCAGGAAGCAAGCATAAATCTAGGTGGGGACTTCTAGGAAAAATTACCTTGATTCTAAGAGAAATATGCAAGAAGTGGACACTGTCATTTCTGGATGAGATTCCTGGGATCTGACGGTCACTTTTCAACCACAAGGAAAGTGTGAAGTGAAAGCCAGCACACTGAGAGTGTCAGTGAGGATGGATGGGGAGACCACATCCCTCAGGACCTCCGTGAGCCATAAAGCCCCGCCCCCTTTCACTAAACCACCAGTCACATGACATAACAGCGTCCTCACGGCTACACTTAATTTAGTTGAAATTTTTTGCTATTTGTAGTCAAGTGCTAACTTATTCCGAAGGCAACCTCCCCAAACTAATTTATAAACATAACACAAATCTAACAATTCATTCTCAAAGCACTTTGGGGAGCGAACAAAAAGATCTAAAATTCACATGAAAAACATCTAAAATTCATATGGAAATTGAGTGAAAACCAAATGGGAAAAATTTTGCAAAAGAAGTATGTGTGAGACCAGTATCACCATGTAACTCAAATGATATCACCTAATTCAGACAACATATACTGTTATGAGTCATCAGATGAATAAATCAGAATGGAAAACCTTAAAAGAGACCCAAGTATGTATTAATTAACATAAGCACATAATGATGACAGATTACTACCTTTAAGAAAGCGGTTACCCGGTGGCGCAGTGGTTAAGAACCCGCCTGCCAATGTAGGGGACACGGGTTCGAGCCCTGGTCCGGGAAGATCCCACATGCCACAGAGCAACTAAGCCCGTGCGCCACAACTACTGAGCCTGCGCTCTAGAGCCCGCGAGCCACAGCTACTGAAGCCCGTGTGCCTAGAGCCCGTGCTCTGCAACAAGAGAAGCCACCGCAATGAGAAGCCTGCACACCACAATGAAGAGTAGCCCCCGCTCGCCGCAACTAGAGAAAGCCCACATGCAGCAACGAAGACCCAATGCAGCCAAAAATAAATAAATTTATAAAAAAAAAAGAGAGCCAATTTTTAAAAAATCAGGTTACAAAGAAGTCATGTACAGGGTGACTCCTCATTTGCTTATTAAAATGTAAATAGCTAGAGGAAAACAAGCCTAGAAAGACATACACCAAAAAACAGGAATTCTTTTTTTTTTTTTTTGCGGTACGCAGGCCTCTCACTATTGTGGCCTCTCCCGTCGCGGAGCACAGGCTCCGGACACGCAGGCTCAGCGGCCATGGCTCACAGGCCCAGCCGCTCCGCGGCACATGGGATCTTCCCAGACCGGGGCGCGAACCCGTGTCCCCTGCATCGGCAGGCGGACTCTCAACCACTGCGCCACCAGGGAAGCCCTAAGCAGGAGTTCTTAATACAATTATAAGTGATCTTTATTTTCTTCTTAATGTTGTCTGAAATTTTCTTCAACACCCTTGTATTGCTTTTGGAGTCAGAAAAGACTGCTTATACTCTGAAGCAACTGTCTACAGTCAATGTATAAATGAAACATAGCAAGGATGTGGATAGTTCAAAAGTGACTTATTTGGCAGCTAGAACTTGTTTTTACATCTTTTGTGAATTTCTTCAAAGCACTTCCATACTGCACTGACATTTGTCAGTGTTTGCTGGGCCTTTGCCCTTTTGCTCAGCAAGTATTACTGAGCCCCTGTCATGTAGCAGGCACCACTCTAGGTCCTAGGGGTTTAGCAGTGAGCGAAACGGATGAAGGCTCTTTCCCTCTTCGATAGGGCAGACAGACACTAAAAGCGCTTGAACAAAAATGAACTTTAGTAGCGATACAAGCACACAAAACACACACACCTACTTCCCAGGGTGACGAAGCAGAGGAGGAGAGAGGTTTAGAATGCGCACAGGTGGGAAGACTGGCTGGCAGGCTGGCCTCCTGAGCAGAGGCCTGGGTGAAGGCCACTGGCCATGGAGACAAGAGCAGGCACGGGGCCCCGAGGCGGCACTGAGCTGGGAACGTACGACAGCGAGAAAAGAGCCGGGTGGCGAAGGTGGAAGGATGGTGTCAAACAGGTGGGGGGGTGGGGAGGCAGTAAATCCTCTGCGGGAATGAAGGGAAGCACGACAAGCTGTGGGGAGACGATTACAGGAGTCCAGGCGAGAAGCAATGACAGCCTGGACCAGAGCAGCAGGGCAAGAGGCTGAGACGGCTGTGATGTGGATGCATTTTGATGGCTGATTCAGTACAACTTGCTGGTGAATTACACGTAGGGAATGAGGAAGAAATCACAGATGATGCTTAGGTTCTTGGCCAAAGCACCGGGTGGATGGTGGTGCCATTTACAAAACAGGCTGCCTCGTGAGAAACCAGTTCGTGAGGGGTAGAAACCAAGTGACCCATTTCGGCGGGGAGGGGCACTACAGGGGTAGGGAGTGAGAGGTACAAACTATTCGGCACAAAATAAGCCACAAGGATACACTGTACGACTGTACAACATGGGGAACATATAGCAAATATTTTATAATAACTACAAATGGAGTATAACCTTTGAAAACTGTGAATCACTATACTGTACGCCTGTAACATAATATTAGACATTAACTATATGTCAACAATAAAAAAGTTAAATCAACGCAGGAAAAAAAAAAAGAGAGACCCATTTCAAACACGTTAAGCGTGAGGTGACCATTAAGCATTCAGGTCAGGGTGTCAGGTAGAGCATCTAACCCATGAGTCTGCAGCTCACGTACAGGCTGGGGCTGAAGATGTAAAACTGGTATTTAAATGTATGGGACTAACTGCTGTCTCCTAGGGTGTGAGGGCAGAGAGAAAAGGGAAGTGGGCTGAAGACAGCCCTGAGGCCCGCTACCTTTACAGGTGACCCAGGGAGGGCAAGGGACCAGTGAGGTGTCCCAGAACCAAGCAAATGAAGGGTTTCCAGTAGGAGACAGTGACCACCTGGGTTGAGCTGCTAGTAAGTAGAGCTGGTAAGATAAGGATTGAGAACTGGTGACCTTAATAAGGGGGCTTCAGTGGAGTATGAAGGAGGAAAACTGAGTTATGTTCAAGGGAGAACTGGAAGACCCGTGACTACAGAAAACTCTTTGAAGCCATATGTACTGCTTTAGGGACAACAGAGTTGGCCGCTGTATCTCTAGCATCATGCTAGCTCTAGGCAAAGAGGAAGTGTGAAATCAGAGCTACTGAATGAATGTCAAATCTGAAAATTCCCAATACTTCAACCCACATTAAGAAACCCGAATGCATATGAAAACATGCTCAACATCATTAGAGAAATGCACATCAAAACTACAATGAGGTACCTACCACCTCACACCAGTCAGAATGGCCATCATTAAAAAGTCTACAAATAAATGCTGGCGAGGGTGTGGGAAAAGGGAACCCTCCTACACTGTTGGTGGGAATGTAAGTTGGTGCAGCCACTATGGAGAACAGTACGGAGGTTCCTCAGAAAACTAAAAACAGAGCTGCCATATGATCCAGCAATCCCACTCCTGGGCATATATGCAGACAAAACTATAATTCAAAAAGACACACGCACCCCTCTGTTCACAGCATTATTCACAACAGCCAAGACATGGAAACAACCTAAATGTCCATTGACAGAGGAACGGATAAAGGAGATGCGGTAGATACACACAATGGAATACTGCTCACCCATAAAAAAGAATGAAATAACGCCATTTGCAGCAACATGGATGGACCCAGAGATGATCATACTAAGTGAAGTCAGTCAGAAAGAGAAAGACAAACGTCATGATACCACTTACATGTGGGATCTAAAATCTGACACAAATGAACTTATCTGTGAAATAGAAACAGACTCCTGGTTGCCAAGGAGAGGGGGCTGGGGGGAGGGACGGACTGGGAGTGTGGGGCTGGCAGATGCAAACTATTACATTTAGATGGATAAACAACAAGGTCCTACTGTATAGCACAGCAAACTATACCCAATCTCCTGGGATAAACCATAATGGAAAAGAATATTAAAAAAGAATGTCTATATGTGTAAAACTGAGTCACTTTGCTGTACAGCAGAAATTAACACAATGTTGTAAATCAACGATACAAAGGAAGGGAGGGAGGAAGGGAGGAAGGGAGGGAGGGAGGGAGGGAGGGAGGGAGGGAGGAACCCGAATGGCTGAGAGCCAGTGTCCCGCCCACCCCATTCTGTTCCCAGCATGACTCTTCATGCTCTTCCCTCCGTGATGAGGACAGACAGACAAAACATGAGCTTCACTTCCTTTCTCATAGCTGGTGGACACTGGGGACCAAAGGTAGTTAATTAGCATTGTGACTGGTAGCTGAACCAAGAGACAAGAGAAAAAACTTCCCTTTCTGCTCCCCAATTTTCCAGAGATGATATATAATAAAGATCAACAGATATATTATGAAGATGTTACCACGGGGTTAAAAAAAAACAACCACCACCAGTGGTCAAGTCATTTAAAGAAAATATCTAATTCCAAACCCTCTGAGACCTTAGAAAACAGCCTCCAAAATGAGTAACTCTCCAAAATGAGTAACTCTCCCCCCAATTCAGATACCTTTCTGCTTCCTTTACCACAGCTGAAGAGTGAAGCCCTTTGTGGCAAAAAAGGCAACTGTCCAAAAATAGTCAGGTTTCCCTACCTGACAAAGTGTCTTCTGATAATTCCTTTTGTCTTTCAATTTTTTCCTCTAGAGTTGAAATGCAGAATTCATAACCAGCAAGAGCCAGTTCCTGTCTGTAAAGCAAAGAGCATCAACCAGCTGCATACCTTTCACAAAGTGCTCTTCTGTCCTCATCTCTCCAGCTCAGGTTTACATTGTCAAGTGTAAGACGGGAAGAGGGAATTTTGTTTAAAGTCTCTAAGAGGTGTCAATCTGCCCTTTCTCAAGAGTTTGGGTTTTTTTTGGTCACCTAATTAACGTTAACTTAAGACAGAGTTTCAATAACCGACATGACCAGCCGTTCCCTCACCTCCCACTAACACAGTTCAGAGGGGTCAGCTCCTCCACGTGTGAGAGCCTTACCCTTGCTCAAAGTGATACACTACCAACGGAGGCGAGGGCCCCCGGCAGTGAGGATTCTAACTGCTGACCTCACTCAGTTTCTGGAGGTCTGTTAGCTCTACACTTCTCCCAAGCTGCAGGTCTTTGATGCAAGTTTCTTTTACAGAAAGGGAACTCCTAGCTAGGGCACTAGAAGGCATTTAGCCCCACTCTCAGGACCTCAGTCAACTGGAGAGGACACCCAGGCAGCAGGGAGACTGACTCTGGACAGAACAAGGGTCATCTGCTGGTTTCTACAGAGATGCACAGAAACACGACATAAACTCCGTCTCCATCCACAAGCTCAGCCCTGGTTTCTGCTCTTCCATTTTGGCTCCTAGCTTCTCACCACAGGTGGCACTACCAAGCTCACCTCTTCTCCTCTCGTGCTTTGCCAGATGACCCCACTGTTCTGCTGTTCTCAGAAGAACCAAACCTTGGCAGGAGGGACCCTATCCGATCAGGGCACGGAACGGGGGAGGCTGCCCACAAGGCATCCTGAGTCACAGCAAAATGTCTACCAACGACCCCTCCCAACTTGTATCAGCCTTTCTCAGCCTCAGGGCCTGGTCCTGGTCTCATGCGTTTCTTAACAAATCAAAATGAAAAAACACTTTTGAGTAACTTGCAGGCGAACTACTAGTGGGGACTACGCAGCTTTCACCTCGTAGGAGGCCACGGGCGTGCCTTACCCTCCGCCGTCACTATCTCTGGGCTGCTTCTTGCCCTGGGAGCTCACGCCCCACCCGTAGCTAGTCCTGTTGCCCAACCAAATGCCAGGAGACGGACTGGGTCCCGCTGAGAATGAAGGAGCTGCTGACTAGAGCAATTCCAAACTTCTGGTACCCAACTTCTGCAGCAACGATAAAGCAAAGGAAAAGCCAGGCTTACTCAGGTCTTTCCTTATATTTACCCCAAAATATAACTCTCTAGAGGAGCTCTTTGCTTACATCCTAGGGTTTCTTCTTTGAACCCCACCTAGAGAAGGAAGGTACCAGGCCTCTCTCATCCGCGGCACACACCCGGATTGTCCCCTAAAGCCTCTCCTGCGTACCCGCAGACTCCTCCTTCTTTGTAACTCAGGCTCATCTAACACTTTTAACTCAGCACTGCTTTCTGGTCCCACCTGCAGGTCTCTCCTCCACTCCTGGGTATTGCTTCCTAAAACCTAGCTACCAGATCATCTCTATGGGCTTTAAAAGCTGCCCGCTGAGCTAGCCACTAAGACATTCCCACAGCAACTCTCTCATCATTTAACTTTATACCTGACTTCCTGGTTTGCTGAGTCCTAAACCAGCAAAATACATTATCCCCAGCAGCCTTTACAGTGCCCCCTCCTCTCCTAGGAAAAGCTAAGCTAAGGTTCTAAGTACAACTTCCCTTCCCAGTTCAAGTAGGAACAGAAAACTTGCCTAGATTTGTCACGGTGCAGCCAAAGGTACGAGGGCCACATGTCCCGCTCAGCAGGCTAATGGAAACAGCAGGGGCAAGCCCAGAAAAGACTCAAGACTTCAAAGATGAGGGACGGAGCACTATGAGTGTGACACCTAAGTTCTGGACACCCAGGTGATTAGCAGGTAAATGAAAAGTATGCAACATCCCAGGGCCAACGTTTTGCCCACAGCCCTACTCCTTGGCTGCCTCCACGCCTAGATTCTGACTATACTTACCTATTCTGAGCAGCGTAAATAGTGGCCAGCTTTAGAGAGATTTCTATTATTGCATTGTCTTCCTGTTGGGAAAAGAAAAATGAAGGAAATTCGTAACAAGTAAAATTTCCTCAAGGGGTATTTCAGATCAACTTCTAGACTGACTCTGACCTGAAAGCCATAGTCTTTAGACTTGGAGGAATCAGGCAACTGTGAATTCCTCAGATACCATGCTCTTGCATGAAGGAAAGACTGGCAAATTTTATACCAGTCTTAGGGAAAAAGAATTCCAACTCTTTGGCCAAAGCACACGTGGGGGCTGGATGGAGCTTATAGGAAGTAAGACTTTTGAAAACTGCTTCAGCTAGGGAGCAATCCTACGTCACGTCCTTACCTGTTGCATGCCCCCTCCAAGCAGGTAACTCATTGTTGCTTTAAAAAGTTTTTCCGCCTAAAAGCACAAGGAAAAGATTTTTGTTTTATTTGGGTCCCCTATCCAGATGACCCTGGATTCTAAGCACTAGTCTTATGTACCATTCCTTGGAAAACACAACACACACACACACACACACTTACACTCACACACTTACACTCACATATACAAAGAAAAAGGTAACCTTGTGGTGGGAAAACAGACTAAAATACCAGGACTGCACATCCTCTGGGCACCTTGAACTATTCTGTGCTGAGTAGAAACCAACTTCAGAAATTAACTTCCCTTCCAAACCCACTGTGGCAGAAACTGGAAACTACCCCGTAATATTCACCCTCCTCTCCATCTCTTTAGTTAGACTCTCCTCAATTTTTACCAGGTCAAGCCTCCTTCGCAGTTAGGTGTGGTCACATGATGAAGCTGTGGCCAAGAGATGCATGCAGAGCACATGTGAACAATCTCTAAATCACACTTTATAAGGAAGCTGCTTGCCCTCCATCCTCTCCTTCTTCCTTCCTGTAGGCTGGAGGTGAGCCAGCTCTCTTACGCAGATGAGGATCTATCTTAGAAGGAACCTGGGCTTCTGGGCCACTTCATGGAGCAGAGGTACCTACCCATCTTCAGGGTTTAGCTACCTCTGGATTAATGCATTAAAGGGAAATATGCTTCCTTCTTATTTGAGTCACTCTATTTTGGGGTCTCTTTGTTACAGCAGCTTAGCCTGTACCCTTTCTAACAGAGGTTCCTTCAGGCTAGCCCTTCACAAAGTCATGACATTACAAAGTGATTTACTTACATTTTCAAGCTGACCCCGTATAAATGCTAAGTTGGCCATCTGAAAATTAATTACAAGTTGTTTTTCAGTTTAGAGCATTGTATTCCTACTTACTTCAAAACGTTTAAGCTAAAGACTCCCCTTTGCTTTCACCCTCTAGCTAAAAAAATAGTCCAGAGAGAAAAGTATGTCACTGATCTGCCAGTAGCAAAGTACAGCAATGGTGTGAGAACAAATACGCGAACACACTTTGACGATGACAAACCAAATCTAGATCCACTCTTCACTGAAGAAACAAATATTAATGATATTCATTTCTTTTTTGTCTGGGATTGAGGCGTCTTGTGACACCCCAAGAGTAATAAAAATTGAAACCAAAAGAAAACTTAGTAAAAACAAAAAGCAAAGAGCTTCAGGGCCTGCTGCAGGTCAGGAACATGATTCAGGTGCCTAACCACCCTTCTCCTGCATCCCACCCTTCATCACCAATGGCTCAGACTGGCGAGAGGAGTTACCAGATCGTAAGTGTAAGTGATGGCCTTCTTGTTATCACTCTTATAGGCAAGACGAAGAGCATCATGCAAAATTAGCTCTGCCTCTGCTGGCTCATCTTTCATGATGCACAACTGAAAAGAGAAAACAAAGAAAATAACAGAAAATGAAATATAAAGAAAGCAGATGCCTGTGCTACCACACGGAAGTGGGCACAGCTATATATCCCAACACACAGAAGGAAGTTATTCATTCATTGGTCACATACTGACTGAACTCCTACTATGCACCAGGTATCATGTCTACCATGGTGACAGGGAGTTCAGCCTCCCCTGCAGCTCTCTTTGGCCACATGACAAAACTCTGGCCAACAGATGCAGGCAGCAGGAATGTAAGCAATTTTTATCAAATCTTATAAGGAAGCTGCTGGCCCTACATCCTCTTTCTCTCTTCCTGCAGGCTGGAAGTGACCTTGTAGGACAAGTAAGCTTAATGACAACTAATGATAAAAGCTAGGAAGAAAAGCAACAGAAAGGAACAATAAGGGGTCCCCCTCAATGGGAGTCAGAGAAGCCTTCCAAGGAAGTGACAGTTAAACTGAGGTAAGAAGGAAGAGAAAGAGTCAACCAAATAAGGAATTGTGAGGAAAATGACCCAAACAGAGAGTAGGGAACAAGCAAAGGCCCTACAGGCTGAAGAAAATGGTTCTTCAAAAACCAGTCAAGGGCTTCCCTGGTGGCGCAGTGGTTAAGAATCCGCCTGCCAATGCAGGGGACACGGGTTCGAACACTGGTCCGGGAAAATCCCACATGCCGCGGAGCAACTAAGTCCGTGTGCCACAACTACTGAAGCCCGCGTGCCTAGAGTCTGTGCTCCGCAACAAGAGAAGCCACCACAATGAGAAGCCCGCGCACCACAACAGAGAGTAGCCCCCGCTCGCCACAACTAGAGAAAGCCCACGCAGCAACGAAGACCCAACATAGTCAAAAATAAATAAATAAATAAATAAAATAAAAAGAACTAATTCCTTCTTAAAAAAAAAAAAACAAAAATGAAAGGAAACAGATGTGAAGGGAGGATGGTGAGCCTGACGATAATTGCCAAATAGGTAGGCAACGTAGGGTGGATCGTGTAGGGTCTCAGGCCACGGCTGGGAGCTTGGGTTCTATCACAAATGCTGTGGGAAGTCATTCAAGGTTTATGGGCAAGGAAGGGATACGATCCGATTTACATTTAAAAAATCACTCTGGGGGCTTCCCTGGTGGCGCAGTGGTTGAGAGTCCGCCTGCCAATGCAGGGGACACGGGATCGTGCCCCGGTCTGGGAGGATCCCACATGCCGCGGAGCGGCTGGGCCCGTGAGCCATGGCCGCTGAGCCTGCGCGTCCGGAGCCTGTGCTCCGCAACGGGAGAGGCCACAACATTGAGACGCCCAAGTACCGCAAAAAAAAAAAAAAAAAATCACTCTGGCTGCTGCATGAAGACTGGGTGGCAGGGGGCCAATAGGACAGACCAGACCAGAGTTAGGAGGCTGCAGCAGCGTGGCCTGGGTGACAGCAGGAGAGACAGAGAAAAGGGGGCAAATTTGAGAAATATTTTGGATTTGGTGGCAAAATCCAAGAAGGATCTGTTGCTGGACTCTAAGTGTATCAGGAGGTGGTAGTTAGGGACCACAAGTTTTAAAAATGACTATGAAGCGTCCAGGCTGGAAAACTAGGTAGGTAGCAGTAAACAAGAGACGGTGAAGGGAGGTGTCCGGGGGGCACTTAAGATCAGGGGTTAGTCTGGGGCAGGTGAAGCCTCAAAGAGGAGCTGACACATCGGCACACCCCGCCGTCTGCGGGCATCAGTGTGGACGTTGTTGGCCAGGTGGCGGCAGTCAGCCCAATGGAAGAGACGCGATAACCCGGGGAGGGGGAGAGAGAGAAGGACTAAACCGCGCACGGCCCGCATTAAGCTGCACCATCAGGACGCCACACGTGTGCACAGTTTTCCCGACCGGCGCTCTCACCCCCAACGCTGGCTAACTCCGCTGCCCCCGGCGCCGCCTCCACCTGCACTGGAGACGCCGGGCCTCCGTCCACCGGTGTCACCGTCACTGCAGGCCCTCACCTTGGCTCGCTTCAGCAGCTGGATGATCTCAGCCTCGGCGTCCCCGGCCGCCGCCCCGCCCGAGCCCTGCCGCTCCCGCTCCTGCTCCTGCTCCGCCGGGGCGGGCCTCGAGAACCAGGCGAGCGCTGCGGGAAGGGGCACTGAGGTCACCGAGCCCGGCCCGGCCCGCCCGGCCCGCCCAGCCCGCGGGCCCGCGCCCCTCACCTGCCAGCAGCGGCAGCAGGCCCGGGCCCAGGCCGCGCGGCGCCTCTCGGCACGGCGGCGCGTCCGCCGCGGGCGCTCGGCCTCCCGCCGGACCCGGCAGCAGGCGCGCCGGGCAGCCCCGACCCCGCCGCCCTGCCACCCGCAGGAGACGTAGAGCCAGGCCCGCGCCCAGGATCCGGGGCATGGCCGTCCGCGTCCTCTGCGGACTGCGGTCCAGGGCCCGGAAGTCCCGCCCCGGAAGTCCCGCCACCGGCGTCGAGCGCCCGCCGATTGGTCGGGACGCACTCAACGTCACCGCGTCCGCCACGCCCCGGCTATCGCGGGACCGGTCATGGCGGTGGCGGCGCGGGCGCTCACGCTGCCGGCAGTGGTGGAGGAGCTGCTGAGCGAGATGGCGGCGGCGGCGCGGGACGGCGCGCCGAGTACGGGCTGGAGGCTTATGCGGCGGCGCCGGCGGGGGCGGAAACCCGGGGTACCGGGGCGGGGCTGCTGGCCCCTACGAGGGAGGTTTCTGTTGACCTCGTCAGTAGCCCTTCCTTCTCAAAATCTGTGTTCGCTCTAAACGAATCCTCTCCTACACCCTGTTCAACGAGCGAATATTTCAGGGCCGCAAACCCGGCTGCAGACGCAGCGACTTGGGGTGGGCGGGGGCGGTTCTGGACGCTGCGGCTGTACCTGTTTTCCTTTGACCAGCAGAGGACGCTCTGTGACCAGGTTTCCGCATCCCTGGGCGTTCGCAGCACACACCGGTATTGAGAGGGTCCCGATCGAAGTGCATCTGCATGAGAACTGCGCAACCAGCGTCCGAATGGTCATTGAATAAATAGATTAGACCTCAGAACTGCCCCTGCTGGTTCACTTGGATGGCTTTTGTTTGAAAAGGACCGCACTTGAAAAGGATTTATCTTGAGTTACTGTTCTTAAAGAATTGAGAAAAGGAAGCCAACTTTTCTCATTTCAGTTAAAACTTAAGCAGTATATGTGCTTAAAAGATTAGGCCAGCCAGGTATTCAAACATGTTCTGATCCCAGAAAGGGTGGGGGGAAAGCCAGTCTGTTGTCAGCTCAAACAGTGGTTGCCCGAGATGGGCTCTGTCTGAATGGATTAATCCATACACTGAGAGTCTTGAAGGGGGCCTGCAGGTGCCCCTGATGCTCAGGACTCAGAGCGACCACTACCACTGACTCACGTTTATTTTCAGCAGAACCGTTTTCTGCTATTTAAAAATCTTTGTTCTAGTTAGTCATACACTCTTCCTGACCCCCACCCTTCAACGATAATTTCTTTAGGTCAATACTGAGTTTACACTTGTGATGATGTAAAATTGAGTCACAGCTGAGCCATGCAGGAAGCTAGGATTACGTTTCCTTTCCTGTAACTTTCTGCTTTCTCTCAAAACTGTCATACTTGTGTTTGTTTACTTTTTTATGTATCCCTAATTCAACCTCAAACTCTTTTTTTTTACCAGTGTTCTAAATCTCTACTCAAGATGTTCAGGTGAATGAGATGTTTTATCAATTTCATGTTCCTGCAGGAGTCTCTCCTAGAGCCTTCAGGTGTGCTCTCCTATGGGCTGGCTGTCTCCTGAGATCTCCCTTCACCATTATTGTCTGGGGAATTCCCTTTACCTAAGTTGAGCCTTATATTTAGTTCACCCTACAATTTTCTTTTTCTCAGTTTGCTACCTTATTTTATAGAGCACATATTCTAGTACCTTCCTGAAGAAAAGCACGAGATGTACTTTTTGAGGCTTTACATGCCTGAAAAAGTTCTTTTCCTATCCTCACACTTAATTGATAGTTTGGCTAGGTATTGAATTATATGTTGGAAATACCATTTCTTCCGACATCTGAAAGCATTATTCTCCTACCCTCTAGCTTCTTAAACTTTCTTTCAAAGAGTCTTATTTTAGCCCCCCTGCTTCCTTCCCACTCCAGAGCCATCTGGTGCCACCAGTTTCTGAGGTTTGTTTTAGCAGGAGGGGGTACTAGATTCTGAAGGGTAAATCAGGCTCTGATTTACACTCGGCTCTCCCATTGCTCACTTAGGATTCAGTGTTCTCAGGTCTTGTAAATTATTTTCCAGCTGTGTTTCTCCCTGTCCTCATCCTGGGGAGTTTATGCTTTTTTTTAAAAAATCCTTTTATTATTGTTTAGCAGAATATTGGGAAGGAGTAAAATTTGATGCCTATGTTCAATTCACCATCTTACACAAAAGTCTTCTTGGCTATAGTCTTTTCTCTTTTTTTTGATAAAATTATTTATCTTGGCTGCATTGGGTCTTTGTTGCGGTGCACGGGCTTCACTCGTTGTGGCTCGCAGGCTTTAGAGCACAGGCTCAGTAGTTGTGGCGCACGGGCTTAGTTGCTCCGCGGCACGTGGCATCTTCCTGGACCAGGGCTCGAACCCGTGTCCCCTGCATTGGCAGGCAGACTCAGCCACTGCGCCACCAGGGAAGCCCCTGTTTATAGTCTCTTTAAGATGTTTTTGTCTATGGTCACTGGTTTGACACAATTAACCTTCTTTCCATTCCTGTTTTACAGTTCCTGATGAGCATCTGTTATCGTAAGTACATATCCTGTTGTATTTGGGGTTTTTTTTTAATCATTAATGTGTTTTTTAAAGGCCAAATTCTTTCAGCATCAACTCTTGATTTTTTAAAAATATTCTTACTAAACTAGGAACAATATTTTCTTTACATGATTAAAAATCTGTCTCAAGTGAATAACCAACACTGTATCTGACAGTACAAGGCATTCCCTTATTGTCCTAATTGCCACTCTAACATTGCTCTAAAAGTTGTAGCTGTTACACGAACACATGAAAAAATGAGAAGTACACTTGATCCTTGAACAACGCAAGTTTGAACTATGTGTGTCCACACATAGTGATTTTTTCAGTAAATACATACTGCAGTGCTATACCATGTGAGGCTGGTTAAACCATAGATATGGAGAGCCGCTTAAAGTTATACGCAGATTTTCAGCTGCTCAGGGTCAGTGCCCCTAATCCCCATATTGTTCAAGAGTCAGCCGTATGCCTATTTGCAAAGAGAGACAATTGTCATTATTTGTAGGGGACATAACTACTTTTTAAACACCAAGAGAATAAAGTTTCGTTTTTAAATACAGAAACTAATAATTATTTTCCTTCATACACAAAGTTCAAACATTAATTACATTCCTAATAGCAAGAAAAAAGTGAAAGCTACCTAGGAATAACTAAATATTTAACTGCACATAAACATTTATATTTAAAAACTCCTGAAGGATATACACCAACTTATACCAGAGATTATCTTAGGGGGGAGGAAGGAGGTGCAATTTAGAAAAGGGCTTTAACTTTTTCTCTATATCTTAAATTTTTTACAAAGATTTTACATTATTAAAAAAATTACTACATTTAAAACAAAGAAAATAGGCAAATAATAAAAGAATTCAAGTTACCAAAAGCTTTGACAAAAAGCTAAATTTTACTAGTGATCATAAAAATACAAATTAAAATAATTAGATAACTTCCCATCTATAAAACCTGGGTATCACAGAAAAGATGTTGGTAAGAATCTTCCAGATGTTGGCAAGAACATGGAGAAGAGGATAACTGATATCCTGATGGTAGGAGTGTAACTTGGAAGGTAAACTGGCAACTGGGAACAGGAGCTTTAAAATATACATATTCTTTGACCCAGAAATTCCACTTATAAGACTGTATCTCAGGGAATTAATCATGGATGTTTAAAGACTTTACAGTGAGCACATTCATCCACTATTGTTTATGGTAGCAAAAAGAAAAAACACCTTGAAACAATCTAATTATTCAAATTAAATTTAATAAACTCTAATTATCCAAAAAATAGAGTTTGGGGAAAATAAAAGTAATTGATCTTTACAATGGAATTCTTTATAACCATTAAAAGTGGTTAAAAGTGCATTGAGATATTCACAATATGTTATAAAGTAGACAAGGCAGGTTAAAAAAATTCTTATTAGATCCATTTTTAAAGTTAATTGGAATTATCTCTGATTGATAAAGTTGTTACCAGATTTTATGTCTTTAGTTTTCTTTGCCCATAGACAATCATCCTATGTTTAATTTTAAACACTTTTCCCATTCTAACAGTTTGTTATAGTAACACACTACTTTGTTAGAAAATGAAGAAGTTGAACGTTTTAATTTTAAAGCCTTAGTAGTGCTGTCTTCTTATTTTGTGTCAAATCATATGGGTTCTTTAAAACATTAACTTTTTAGTTTTAGTTCAACCCAGCCATTTTATCTTCCAGTTTATAAAAATAACCCATACTTGTAAATAAATAAATAAATAAATAAAGTCCTTGGAAAATAAAACATCAAAAGCATGAATAATCATACAAGCCAGTGATAATCACTGTTACAATTTGGTTTATCGCCTTTTTTTTTTCAATGTAATGTTTTATTTTGAGGTAATTGTAGGTTTTCTTAAGAAAAAAATTTTTAACATGATGGAGAGTTTCTAGATATAAAATACGGTGCCCGACCTTTCTCACCTAACATATTGTAAGAATTTTCCCACATATCACATTTTTTTCTGGTACATCATTTAACAGCTGGATATCCTTTATTACTGATCCATAAAGAACAAATTTAACACCCATCAGGTGGTCAAACATGAAAAGGCCTGATAATACAGGTGTTGGTGAGGGTGAGAAGGAAATAGAACTCTCATATGGCGCTAGGGGGAGCACTGTTTCCGCGGTGGGAAGCTGTTGGCAGCGCCCATTAAAACTGAAAACTGCACATATCCTAAGACCCAGCAGTTCCGCTTTCACTTACATAACCAGGAAGGACTCTCATATATGTGCACCAAGGGGCATGTACGGGGATAACTGAGTATTATTTGTAATAGTGTCAAATGGAAACATTCAGAATGTCCATCAATAGAGTACTTAAAAAAAATAGAGTACTTAAAACATAAAATGTATTATGTACATACAATAGAATATTATTCAAAAGTTTAAAAAAAAAAAAAAAAATATATATATATACACACAAATATACACATGCATCATTCTCAAAAGTACACTGAGTGGGGAAAAAAAGTTGCCAAAAAAGCCTACCATACCTTTTATGTTTTAAAACTTATAAAACGATACCATATGTATATATGTATGTGTGTATATATGTGTATGCACACACACATATGTACTATATATTATAAAATATAAAAACATTAATAGGAAGGAAACCATCAAATGCATGTGGTTGCCTCGGGGATGAAGGAAGTTGGGACGAATAGGAAAGACTGAAGTATAAAGAGGACTTCTTTATCCAAACAACATGTCAACATTTATTCTGGGGAAACAACATGTCAACATTTATTCTGGGGGGTTGATTACATGGGGTCATGTTAACATTTATTCTGGGGGGCCGATTACATGGGGTTTTGCTGTATTGTCACCTTTTTTTTTTTTTTCCAATTTAAAATGAACTGAATTTTTAAAAACTGCCAGTGGTGATCCTTTGGGTCAAGTCGCAGAGGTGGCTTGAGTCCAGCCGTCTAACCTGAAGCTTCTCTGCTCCCCAGGCTGAAGTTTGTCTTTGGCTCATCAGCCGTCCAGGCCTTGGACCTCGTTGATCGCCACTCCGTCACCTTAATCTCATCGCCCAGTGGGAGGCGTGTTTACCAGGTAGAGACCTAGAGGTGGGGATTATCTCAACAGAATCCCCGTAGGACAAAATGTTTTCATGAATCTCTGTGAAAGCTGGTGACCAGCTCTGAGTATTTCCTGGGCTTTTGAAAAGCCTTTGACCCAACTTGGTAAAATGAGAGTATGAGTAGTTAAAATAAGATAAACATGACCTGTTAGCTCTACCTGGTAGCGATGTGTAGAACCAGCAATGACGCAGAGAGGCTCTCTTCTCAGGTCTAACGGAGCACAGTCAACTTTTGCCTTCCTGTCGTTTAATACTGGAGGTACTTTCCCACCCACCCCCCCACCAAAAAGCGCTGACTCCATCACCTTGTTACATTATCTCTTGCTTACAAGCAAAAACCAAAATGTACTTTGAGGTCCTTCCACATGTCCAGCTTCATCTCATAGAAATGATCTGTCAAAATTGTTGTCAAGAAGTGTTCACGAAGGCCAAACTGCTGAATTCAGGCAGTTGACTTGGGCCTTAGTTTTGCCCACTGGAGCTGAAGGTAGGTAGATTTGTAAAGTAACAGATCAGACTCTCACCAGACTCCGAATTACTTTCATGTATTGATAATTCTCACCAAAAGCCCGGAAAGATATTCATTGTGCCGAGAACTGAGGTGCAGAAAATTAACAGTCACCTCCGGCAGCGGGGATGTGTAAAGGCCATCCTGCACTGCCTGTCTGTACGTCAGCAGTGGGCCACACTCCCCACCCCCAGTTTAGCTACATCAGACAGTGGTACCTGCCGCTGGGATTGAGCGAAGGGAATCTTGTGAATGAAATTAAACCTCAGCAGCGGTCTCCAGAATTTTGTGTCTGGCTTGGAAGGAGTGAAAATGAAGCTGTCAGCTCTTGTATTTAATCCAGGCCTTGCTGAAGACCAGGAAGGAGGGATTTTTCAGTGTTTGGATTCTGGTTTATTTATGATGACCTCAGGGTTAAGACCGTGTTGACTCGTTCTTAGTGAGTGAGTGACTGGGCAGAGCCTCTTGGGTACATGGGGGGCTTTGCCTAGTGAACTTACTTGTGGCTCCACACTGCAGGACGGTGCGGCCGACCTGGCACGTGCTCCTGCACTGCGGCATGAAGTGAGCCGTGGTGATCCGCGCTGAAGGCTGCAGTTAGAACTCTGGGCTGCACTTACTTAAAAGGCCGCTGATGAGAACTTCCTCGTGAGCTGCATCGATTAATAATCGGCGCCCTTAAGTGGTACTGTTTGTACCTGAGGAGGTGTTTCCGCCTTCTTTCTAGAGTATTTATTTTTGGTTTTTATGTAGCTAAAATACCCTCAACGGGGAGGGCCTCGGAGTTTTCCCATGTCTTTTAGTTTCGGACTTTTTGTCCTAGTTCCAACATCAGCAGAACCCCTGACCTGCACAAGCAGAGTCCCAACTGCCCTCTAGCTCTGGGATCTCATTGTTAGTTAAAATCTTAAAGACTCTGAAATATTTCAGTTATTGTTGACTTTTTTGTTCCTCCCAGGATCACTGTGAGTTGTTTAATTTTCATCATTCACATTCTGTATTATATCATGTTGCTTTATTCGTCATAAAAATGCTAACTTCTTAGAATTGTGGCCGTCAGCTGGGACTCTGAATTAAATGAGGCTGTAGAAATCTTATAGACACCCTCAAATTAACCTCAGTGGTTTCATTGTATATAGTAACATAGAAAGAAGTTGGCTTAATTCAGAGGTCCTGTGAGATGATAAAAGTTGAGTCACACATTGCCTCTTGGTCCTGCTAGTTATCGTTCCATAGGGCAACCTTCTAATGCTCTCACTTCGTCCAGGTGTAGTGGAAATTATCTTAAAGTCACACTGACGTTGTTACCTGAGTTGCTTTCTGATAAACTTTGGTCCACCCAGGAACGGGGGTGCGTCAGTCAGGAGGTGCTAAATAAGTTAGGCTGTGGTAACAATGACCCCCAAATTACAAAACAAAGTTTATATCTCACTCACTGTACATCTCCATTCAGAGTCAACTGCAGCTCTGCTCCAAAACGTCTTCACTCAGGGTCCCAGTCGATGGAGCAGCCCCCGTCTGGAACATTGCGGATCTCACAGCAGAAAGAGAAGAGGACATAGTATGCACCCATTTTTAATGTTTCTGCTTGGCTACTCACGTTGTACTGGCTAAGACAGGTCACACAGTCAGCCTGTATCTAATAGGGCAGGAATGTATAATCCTCTTTCCGAGAGAGGCACCGAACTCGGGGAACAGTAGATAATACAGTTCACCACTGTGATGGATGCTAAGAGGCTTGGAGCAGCCATAAAGTAAAACTGTCCTTCTGAGTGGATGACCATGCAGGTGGGTCAGTCACCTTAGAACCTCACTGAAACCGTAGCAGACTTCCTCCAGGCAAGGTGCACACAAGTCCAGCCTGGGTTTGAGTATCCTCTTTCCTGCACTGCTTTTTTTAAAAGCTCTCTCCTTCTGGGGATAAACATTCCAGGCTCTGAGTGGCTGAACTGGGAGCATTTCCCATGAGAGGAGGGGGTTTTTCCATTGAAGGGTGAAGGAAGTGAATTAGATGGTCCGTGAGGTCAATTTCTAATTCTAAACATATCCAACTCAGATCTCTGCCTGATTATTGGGTTCGTTGGTTGTCCACTGCTTGATAAAGATGAAGCAAATTCAGAATTGACTGTTCGTTTACAGTATTCACTGCCTCGGGCGGCTGAACGTTTTGAGTCCTAGCCAGCCTTTGAAAGGATCAGCAAGGGAACCTCTTGTAGAAACTCTCCCCGTCCCTGAGTTACTGGCACTCAGCTTCATCCAGAGAGTATTCTGATGGGCTGGGCACCCACCATAAGAAGGAGCTTGTCAGTGTGGAATTCCAGAGGCTTATGCCTAGTTAAATGTAAATCCAGAGAGAAGAAGAAATCTGAAGTTTTTTATTCATTGGTGACAGTTTGGAGACGCAGGAATTGTTGGTGTCACTGCTGGATGTTGATCGGTTTTCGTGCAGGACTGAGTGGGAAACAATCTGCTTTAATGCTCTCCCTTCAGCCTGTGTTTTCCAGACACTGGGGAGATTCCTGCAATCATTCTCAGCGTCCACCACCGAAGACATGTCAGCGCCCCAGGACTGGAAATCTGTAGCATGTGATTTTCTTCACACCTGATTTGTAACTGGGGCTGAAATTTTTAATGGGAACAGTAGGCATCTTCTTACCTAGTCATGGGCCATTTCTGGTAATCTTGCAGCCCCCAAGGAATTCTCCTGACTTGGTCAAGAAACCTTAGCGACATGGCCGCGTCACGTGAATGCCAGGACATTTGACGAACAGGCACAGCTCGTGCCTGAACACTGCTGTTGCTCGGTTGAAGCCTTTCCTGCTGCTTTATTCTTTGTGAGGAGAGAGGAGCTGTGGCATTTGTTGCTTTTTAAGTCCTGGCCTTTTCATGTAGATGGCCACCTCAGAGCCTGCAAAACGTGGGAGCCCTGTGGCAATCCCTAAGTTGCGGTTCATGTGAGCTAGCCCTCGGGGTGGCGCCGCATGCCCAGGACGCTCCTTTTGCCAACAGTTTGCAGAGTGTTTTTTTTTTTTTTTTTAATTTATTTATTTATTTTTGGCTGCGTTGGGTCTTCGTTGCTGCGCGTGGGCTTTCTCTAGTTGCGGCGAGCGGGGGCTACTCTTCGTTGTGGTGTGCGGCCTTCTCATCGCGGTGGCTTCTCTTGTTGTGGAGCACGGGCTCTAGGCGCGCGGGCTTCAGTAGTTGTGGCTCGCGGGCTCTAGAGCACAGGCTCAGTAGTTGTGGCTTGTGGGCTCAGTAGTTGTGGCTCGCGGGCTCTAGAGCGCAAGCTCAGTAGTTGTGGTGCACGGGCTTAGTTGCTCCGCGGCATGTGGGATCTTCCCGGACCAGGGCTCGAACCTGTGTCCCGGGCATTGGCAGGCGGATTCTTAACCACTGCCACCAGGGGAGCCCTGCGGATTTAACGGTAGGAATGAAGCCCTCAGCTGTGTCTTTGGCCGCTTCGTGGTGGAGACGTAAACAGGTGATTTCTCCGTTTGTCCAGTCACACTCCAGATGCAGCGTCACTTCCCTGGACAGCCTCTCCTCACCACTTGACTGACAGCCGGCCGTCTGCTCTTGGACTGGCGTGTTCCCAGCCCTCGTATCTGTGCACTCCTTCCATCCTGCTGGGGAACAGGCAGATCTGGGCTTACCGTGCTCTGAGACAGCCGCCCGATCATCCCGTTACAAGATTCTCTGCTTCCTACATTCCTCCTGTTCTCAGATGCTTTTCAGAAGCCCTTTCCCGTTTTCTTCTGAAGACCTGTCTTTCTGCCTCACCGCCAAGCCTTCACCTGTTATCAGGCTCTCTTCACACGTGTGGTGGAAGCTTTAGACGTTTACACACATGCTGTGAAATACCAGAGGTTGAGAAACACCACGATGAAGTGCAGATGAGGGGGCTTTCTCCTCTGCCTCTTTATAGTCAGCCCACGGAGTGGGCCCTCTGAATCACCAGCCAGAGGGATGGTTTAACCCACCCGAAACGCTTCCGTTTTGTCCTGTGGAGTCCTCAAGGGCAGAGCTCTAAGGCAGCGGGAAGGTCCCGCAGGCAGGGAAGTCGAGTTTCCACTTCTGCGGAAGATGTTCCTACGGTTCTTCCCAGCGCAGAGCAGCTCTGAGTCGTCAGGCAGATAAATTCGGGGGAAGGGAGTGGTTTTCCAGCACACCTTTCCAAGTCTGATCCCATCTGTCCTTTCCTTTCTAGGTACTTGGAAGTTCCGGTAGAACGTACGTGTGTTTGGCCTCTTGTCATTACTGTTCGTGTCCGGCATTTGCCTTCTCAGTGCTGCGGAAGGGTGACAGCCTCCTGGTGAGGATGGGAAGGGCCCCCCCAACTGCGGCTGAGCTAGGAGAGAGATTGAGAGCCCTCGCTGCGTCGTTTAAGAGCTGCACAAAATGGGGATTTGACTACATGTGGAAACAGTTGTTTCTTCTCTTTGACTTCAGTTAGTCCTCTCTTTTGGGTTTACCCTCCCAAAATGCAGTGTCATTTTTAGAACTACACCAATTTCCCATTTTAATTTAAAAGGTCACAGATGAAGCTGTGGGGAGGGCAACAGGTAATCCCCAAAGTAGGCAACTGGGGAACCAGTCGGCCCAATAGAGATATGAACTAAATTGCTGCTGGCAGCTTTGCAAAGCCCCAGCTACACGTCCAGCCTTGAGGTGCTTCTTCCCACTCCCCGTGAGACAGCCTGGCACCTGGCCATGCTCGACTTTCCCGGGGGCAGGAGAGCACATCGGTGCCTCTGCTGACTTCACGGAGTCCAGGGCATCAAGCAGGAATGAGACACACTCACAAAGCTCCTGATTCCGCAGGAGAAAGCAGTACCCAGCCATTTGTTAAGTCTTGCCAAGGAAGAATATTGTAGCACCCGCTGAATTCTTCCCCTTTCTTTTACATACACTGTTAATTACACACCTCGGGAACTGGGTGGCAGGTTGAATGTCCCATTGTACGAGAAGCCACCTTCACAGCTGATTTCACCTGTAAAACGACAGGGTTCAAGCAGGCCCTCCAGTAACCTAAGCTGTGTGTGCTATGATACAGGGTCCAGCACAGGTCCTCTCCCCAGAGGTGTTCAGGCCGAGATATGTGAGGGTCCTGCCACCCCTGCCCCTGCCCCCGACACCATGCCCCGGAAGTCTAATAGCGGTGAAGGGACTACACTGTAGACTCTGAGCATGTGTGTAAGATGGGGATAAGACCTGTCCCCCTGGGGGGCTTAAATGAGATAATCTTATTATCTCATTATTAAATAATTCTCTCTTATTAAGTGAGATAAACTTTAAGAAGCACTTAGCACAGTACCTCAAGGAACTAGGCATTGCTATTAACAGCTTTCTGAAGGCGAGGAAGAAAGAAATATAATTTAGGACTAAAATAAAGAGCCTGTCTCAGTTTTCCCTTGGTTTTACCTGTACCAAGCTGGATCTAAACAGTTGCCCCAAACAACAGGCAAAGGAAAACCTCCTTCGTCCCCACTGCCTCCTAGGAGGTCTCATCTTTGTCTTCAGTTTCAGGCAGTGAGTTAGAGGCGCACAGTCTGTGCCCCACTCCTTTCCTGCTACATGTGATGGTGGTGAGAGGTCTGGGTTAGCCTGGCCGCTCCAGTTTCTAACTGGTTTGTGTGTTTTGTGTTCCAGTGCAAGCACCTCTTGGCAGTTTATCTTAGTCAGGTTATGAGGACCTGTCAGCAGCTGAGCGTCTCTGACAAGCAACTGACTGATGTATTATTGATGGAAAAGACACAGGAAGCATCATAAATGGCGCAGATGGAGCATCACACTGTCCTTCAACACAGGGGTCCTGTCCAGGACGCACACGACTGGCCACGCGTGATTCACGCGGCCGAGACGTGAACCAGACTACCTGTCGCTGTCCCTTCCCCGCGGGCTGCAGGAGGCATTGTGGGTTGGGCCCAGGATGTGCATATGGTTTGAAGCCCTCGTGAAAAGTCTGGACCAGCCTCCAAGCCCCTTGGGTAGAAAATTTCCAGATGCAATCAAGCGTTTTAGACTCCAAAATCTAACATCATGTCATGGTCATAATTAGATTCTTAAGTGACCAGAGTACTAGTCATTTTTAAGAGGTTGGAACGGCAGGTGAAACAGCAAGCTGAAGTTTATAGATAAATAAGCATCAGTCCTTTTTCTTGCGTCCAGAAAACTTTTCTGCAGTAAAAGGTTAGAGCGGAGGTGTGGCTAAATGGCAGCAAAGACAAAAAGACATCAGGGTTCTGGTTTCAGTGAGCTGCAGAATCTGTGCTGTCGAGGCCAAAACGCTGATTAAATAGGCTGTATTGTGAGAAATGTAGTTAGCGCCTAGGACAAGGAAGTGCCGGTTTGCTCTGCGTGCACTTCTGAGCTTTGTAATGAGCCAGATGAAGGAAGCTGAAGACGCTGCTGGGGATTTCCAGTCTGAGGAAGAAAAGGCTGAGAGATTCCCAAGAGGATGTTGGGAGGGAGATCAACGGGACGCATCCGGACCCCAAGAGAGAGCAATGGCGGATGAAAAGGAACACAAGACAGATTTCGGCACAGGACAGGAACTTTTCATGGGGAAGGCTGTCCACAGCTGGAACAGGGTCCTAGAAGGACAGGCTCTCCCTGTCTCTCTAGGGGTTCGTGAGCCTGCAACATGCGCGCAGGGTTACTGCGGAAGGAATCGAGTCAGCGACCAGACAGGTGAAATAGATGGTTCTGCAGCCTCGGACAGCCCCCAGCCCTGTGCCCCGCAATATGGGGTGCTAATGAATGACTGTGGGGAAGGCCGCAGACGGCACAGGGCTCTGTGGTGGCAGAGCCTTCTCTTAGGTCAAGGTGTGGCGAATAAAACCTATCAAGACTGTGCTACTTGGCAAACTTGGGCTCGGGTGTAAACTTATTTCAGGATAAAGAACGGAAGGTAGGTGAGCTCTGCACAGCAAGCCGGCGCAGCACCCTAAACTGTATTTTTGTTTTTTAAGTTTTATTTTTATTTCACCTCATACATAAACACAATTCTCTAACTCTCCTTAGTAAAATTTTCACTTTGGATTCCAGCAACTTGGCCAAACTTGAACTTGGGAGAGAAGTAAAATTCACTATCTAGCTCCGGAAGGGGGAAACAGAATCTGGCGGCGGAGGGATCCCACTTCTCCAGTTTCTTCCTTTAGGGGAGTTTGCTGTACATGGAAAAGACTGTTGTCAAGCCTGTCATCTGATGACATTCTACTTAAGAATGTATGAGACTATCATCTCCCTAGTACGGCAGCGTCTTGATTGAAGAATTACACTTTCTAATTTTCCTGGTCACCTTCCCCAGAACAAGTACATATTTTTAGTATGTCCAACTTTTTCCACTGCCTGCTAAGTTAAAAAGTGTTTGTACTGTAATAGTTCACAGTGTTTCACGGTAAAAATAGTTTCAGTCATTTTCTACCACGAAAGAGGTAGACTCTTAAAGAAACAAAACTTTCTTTTAACTCCATTCAAGTCGTCAGCATCATCAGCAAGAGCAGCCAGGGAACCGCAGACACGGCCGCCGACCCGCGGCACCTACGAGTAACGCGTGCGTGTTAACTAGGTACGTGGTACCTCCGGGGAAGTGCTCCGAAGACGCCCCCTGCTGGCCTGTGAGGTGTAGCTGTCCTTCCAGTGAGAATCCGCCAGCCATGCCCTGTCCCTTTGTTACTGAACTCGTGCCTTCTCCTCGAAGAGGCCAGAGCAGCCTCGGTCACAGGCTCACCTGGAGAGCAGGCTGCGCCCTTGCCTGCCCATCCCCACTCTTGCGGACGTCTGTCCGGCAGAGAACATACCTGGAGATGATTTTGTGGAAAGTGTAGCGGAAGTCTCGGTTCCGGTAGGCGTAGACAATGGGATTGACGACCGAGTTGGCGTGCGACAGGAGGATGGCCGTGTTCATGGCCCACTTGGGCTTCTCCTTGGCCCAGGCTGGCTGAAAGAGCGAGGCACAGTTGATGGCATGTACCGGCAGCCAGCACAGGGCAAAGATCCCAACAATCATGGCCAGGGACTTGGCCGCGTGGATCTCCCGCTGGAGGACGGTCCTCGTGTGGTCCATGAGCTCCATGCGCTGGAGCTGCCTGCAGGCCACCAGGAAGATCTTGACGTAGATGACCAGCATTATGAGCAGCGGGGGCAGGACGCACCCAAAGAAATTGAAGTACACCATGTAGCTCATGGGGACCACGTTCTCAAAAAGACACTTCACAAAGCAGCAGCTTGCGTTTGTGCTTCCATCCCAGGGCTCCGTGCAGTTGGTGGCACGGTCTTTACTGTTCCACCCCAGGAACGGGGTCAGGCCGATGCCCAAGGCGAGGACCCAGAGGACAGCAATGACCCCTCTTGCTCGGGCCCCAGTGACCAGACTCTTATACCTGTTGAAAAGAACAGCATCTGTCACCGCCAGCTTACAGCACTCTGCCACCGAAGTCCAAGACCCCACCTCTGCTCTTTGTTCCTTTACCCCTAACAGCCTCTACCGTACAGCCTCAGAGGGCACCGTGGCCTTTTACCCTCAACACTAACAGCTTGCAAACAGGTATAAACAGCTTTGCTCTAACAAGCTCAATAAGGTTTTCATTCTTAATAACTCACCTCTGTCTAATGACAAATCATGGTCGAGGAGAACAAGTGGAGAATTCTTAAAGGCTGCTTTCTAATCACCCAGATACTGACCTTGGGTCTAGGTCTCCTATGAGACACAGTTCTAGGGGGTCGAGATACACCAGGGAACGGAACCCACAAGACCTCTGCTTCTCAGGGACTTAACGTTCTAGCAGGGGAGACAGATCATAATAAACAACAAGCATAGGTTAGTAAATTATACGGTATGTTAGAAGGAGACGTGTAGTGTGAAAAGAGAAAAAGCAGAGTGAGGAAGGTGAGCTGTGGCAGGGACTAGTGTTAAAGAGGTCAGGCAGGGAGGCTTCACTGATAAGATGCCCTAGAACAAACACCCAACAAGTGAGGACCGGAGGCCCCTGGAGTCAGGCAGCCCCACCTGGTGACTCTGGGCGAGAAGCCTTCTGGTCAGTCTCCCACCAACACCCTAAGAAGAGTCATCCCCCTGAATTCCCCGGTAAGGTGCTGGAGAACGAGAGTTCTAGCAGCGTCCCTGGCTGTCTCGGCTAGCGGCGCAGTTGATAAAAATTGGGAAAGAACTTAGCAAATATCAAACCTTTTTAGTAATTTTTAGACCATTAAATCTTATTTAAAATCTCTAAAAATCATAATACACATTTTGGACGTTTTGCTACAAGGTAGTCCATATATGGTTTATAGCAAAGGTATAAACTCTGCTATTCATAACTGGTCCATAATATGTATTTAACATAATGTATTGAAAATAATGAAATAACATCTTTACTTAACCTCTGGGAAGAAAACCGGGAAATAACTGGATACACATTATCTTAAGACTCGTCTGTGGGAAGCGTCCGATCTCCTTCGCCTGCAAGATTAAGCTCACACTTCTCAGCATGGACCACGGAGCCCTCAGGCCGCAGCCCCAAGTGCCCCTGCCTGCTGTTCCAGACAGCTGCTGCGTCCTGGCCCGGCTGCTCTCCTGTCTCAAAGGTCACCTCCTTTCCTGCTCCCTTCGCAGGCAAAGGTGGCCTCTCCCACTCTCTGGCCTCAGACACACACCTGTCATAGAGCTTGTTTATCTCTCGCAGGTGTTCAGCCTTTTAAGGACTTGGACCTTGTCCCTTTGATTTGGTGTCCCCAGGAGCTAGCATAGTGCCTGGCGCATAGGAGGTTCTTAGGAAGGTGGCCATTACAAACACATTCCTGGCTCGCTACCAGACAGCTTTAAAACGGGCTTCTACTTATTAGGAATGCCTGATGCTGTGGCCGGACAGGCAGCAGAACTGGTCCAGTTTGCGGGGGCAGTTAACTGAGGTCTTGCCTCATGTTGACGGTGATCCCTCATCTTCTCTGCTCCCTACGAGGGCAGCTCAGTTGTGGGGTCTTGACTACAGAGGACCTGCTGGGTGCAGCTGCTCGCTGAACTTTTCTGGGCCAATAAATCCATCTATTTCCAAATCCTTTCTGCTTCCCTCCTCACGCAGGAATGTAAAGCCATTCCTTATAAAAATGTTATTCCTGGCCATTGCCTTGCCAGAGATGTGAAGAATGCAATGTTACCCCTGTAGGGTAACAACGCCACCGCCTCCTGAAGGCCAAGCACTTAAGAGTCACGGAACTTCAGGCCCACGAGGCAGCCATGCCTCCACTGTTCATGGGACTCAGCTGCACTGAGGTGTGTACAGCTGAACACAGACCAGCCCCGGGGGATGAGTAAGATCTGGGGTTAGCACATTCTCTTGTCAGTCATGGTCTGGGATGGATACGGGAGGTGGTTCTGGCCAATGTGACTAAAGGAAGTCTGCTAGGGTACTTCCAGGAAAAGTTTTATTTGATAAAAGGAGAGAGACACACGAGGAGAGCTCCTCCCCATACTCATCCCTTTCTGCTTTTGATGCTCTTATGGGAGGCTGTGATGCCTAGAGCTGCAGCAGCCATCTTGTGACCATGAGGCATGAGCCTGAAAACAAAGCAAATGGCGAAGCAGAAGGGAGGAAAGTCCAGGTCCTTGATGGTGTCTTTGAACCACTACACAAACCCTAGAACCACCATGGCTCCATACTGTAGTTCAAGAGATAATTGATGGTCTTGATGGCTTAAGTCACTGTTACCTGCAGCCAAAAAGCTCATACAAACTGGAAGGGACTTTCATCTTTTCTAGTCCAACTTCTCTTATTTTACAAATGAGGAACCAGACATACAAAGTCTTTAAGTAACAAAGGCAATACAACAACCAAAGACCAATAAGTCAGGACTTTCAGGCCTCTGTTCCTTACACCACATTATGCTGCTTTTTTTTAAAAAATATTTATTTATTTATTTATTTATTTATTTGGCTTCGCCGGGTCTTAGTTGCAGCACACAGGATCTTCGTTGAGGCATGCAGGATCTTTTAGTTGCAGCATGTGGGATCTAGTTCCCTGACCAGGGATCGAACCTGGGCCCCCCTGCATTGGGAGCACGGAGTCCTAACCGCTGGACCACCGGGGAAGTCCCTATGCTGCTTCTTTTATGTGACTTTTTCCTAAGCAATATTAGACACGGAGTCCTCTGTACACAGAGGGATCCCAGGGGGTGGCTTCCTGGCGGAGTTCAAAACAACTGGAATCCACCCACATCTGAACCTCTCAAAACTGCTGGATCCTGCGCATATGAAAAACTACTTTTACGCTAAATCGTCTTAGATGAGGGATACCAGATGATTTCATTCGGGGAGCAGCTGGTCCCAGCCTTCTCCGTGACCCCCTGCACCAGGGCCCTCCTCCCCTACTGGCTCATTATTTTATTCAGAGTTCTTCCTTGTATTACCACACACTCCGCTGGCACTGGAAACAGAATCACAGCCCTCGTGGGCTGTGAAGCTAACAGAAGAGACAGAAAATAAACAGGTAAACACTCAAAGGTACAATCACAAGTCAGAAGGAGTCTGGCCAAACCAAAAGGAACAGGGTGCAGATTAGAGAAAACCAGGAAGAGCTTGGACACAGGGTGTCAGGGAAGCCTCTTAGGCAGCAGAGTCGGAGGTGCAGGGGGCAGGGAGGCTCTGAAAAGCGGGGAGAAGCCATTCTAAGCAGAGAGAACAGAATGTGCATGGCTTCCAGACAGGAAAGGGTTTCACCTTCCTAGAGAAGCAGAGGGGTGAGGCGGGCCCGTCCCGAGGCCGGGGGAAGGGGCTGGAGCTTGATACTCAGATACCCCAGTGCTGCGGGATGCCATGGGAGGCTCAAGGCACACTGGGGGGAAGGCACTGGTTTCGGCTGTGTGAAGCTCACCGTGGAGACTGAGTTTCAGGGCCGCCAGAAGGAAAGCAGAGCAGTTAGGAAACTACTTCAGTGGTTAACTCAAGAGAAGACGTTGGCGTGGGGCAGGATGACAGCAAAGACAGGGCTCACAGACCCCACCCCCCACCCCATCCTAGCAGCTCTGAACCACACGGCCACACGACACGCTGGGGGAGACACGTGCCTACAGACTCCCCCGGCCGCCAGCCACACAGGGCACATCAGACACGCGGCCGCCCCGCCTGAGCGCCGCTCTGCAGGCACCAGGCCCGCGCGCATCCCCCGTCTCGCGAGGTCAGGGCACCATTGCCAGCTACAGATGTGGCGGCTGAGGCTGCCACGGTTAAATGATTGGCCTGCTGCCCCTGAACTGCAGTCAGGACACAAACCCACCCACCTGATCTGATTCCGGTTTTGCCCAAAGCAGTCACTTTCCTGCTCAGGACCCCGTGGTTCTTCCCACAGATCCCAGCTCCCCGCTTCGCCAGCCCCGGCTCTGCTGCCCTCTGCCCGGGCCAAAGCTGCCAGCCATTCCAGGGATCCTCCGCCCCCAACTCCGTGGCCGGCCACCTGGGAAGCGGCAGGCAGTCCTTATAAGGTGGCAGGGAGACGCTTCTGCTGGCGGACACAACCAGACCCACAGCAAGACGTGGGCTCCAAAGGCAGACGCGCTTTTAGCACTGGAGCTGCAGCCCCACGATGGCAGAACAGTCCGTGTCCGCGAGACGCTGCCTGGACCCGGGCACGGGTGGGAGACGGCCAGGGATGCTGGGGAGAGCAGGCCGGTGTCCCTGCACCGGGCGGGAGGCTGGGGGCACGACCCCCGGGTCTCTGGCATCTCACGGCGGGGTGGCGGGCTCCGCTCTCCTCCCCCATACCCTCTCGTCTCCCACTTCCGGCTGGGCCTCTGTCCTCTCCCTGGGCGCCCCACTCCCACCCTGCCCACCCCTCGCTCCCTTGCTCCCCAAGCACCAGGGGCTCTCAGAGCATCCTCGTGTGTGTGTGTGCGTGCGTGCCCCCACATCATTCCTGAACGGCGGGAACGTGTCCTTTCCTACAACCGCCCCAAGTGCAGGAGGAGTAAATGGAAGGCGATGAGTAGAGGAAATGTAGGCGGCGGTATTACACCGAGCAAGCAGGAACAACTCCAGCCCACACAAAAGGGGTGTCCTGGGAGAGTCCACCCTCTGGGAAGTGGCTGTGCCCCCGCTGTGCCGGACCCACCCACTCTCCATGCAAGGGGCTCATTAGCTAAGGAGCCGGATCGAGAGACAGTCACAGCTAAAGGGAACAGCGTGGACGCCCGGGCTCACATCATGACAGAGGGCTTCTGCCAAGCGCTGCCTAACAAGCGCTGGCCTATTTCTGGGCCAGGGTCCCCCCCCTCCGGCTCTGCAGCCCTCGGCTCAGACCAGGCCACACGCTCAGCCTTGGAAACCAGAATTCCCAGCGCTCAGGGTGCCCTGAGTGCAGCAAATCCCCAAGGGCAGCCACCCTGGCAGTGACAC